AAAAAAAAAACTTATTATATCATAGCCGAACGTATTTTTCAAGGGATGGATGTCGTTTAAAATAGAAATAATAATGCATATTTTTTTTTTCAAACTATTAAAAAATTAACACTCATGTATTATACGAGTGTTTATATTACGATTAAAAATCATTTTAAATTGTGACGAATTTTCATTCATTTTTTATTATGTTAATTTGCAGGTCAATGACAATCCCAACACAATCTAAATTAAATTATTCGGGGGCATTGTAAACAGGAATTCAACATTTAATTCATGTGTTACTAATAAAAAAAAATAAAAAAATAGTAGCACATATTTTATTCATGTATAATAATTATGTTGCAAACATTCAAATCATCTCACGAGCAACTATAAAGCCATCTCCAAAATTCTAGAAAACCAGAAAAAATGACACGGCTGCTAAAGATAGAATAAAATTTCATCTGATCAGTAACAGTTTTATTGAACATCAATTGTCCATAGGAAAATTAGGGAGTTATAAAAGTCAATGTTTGCCGTGTGGAAGCCACCGATTGACAAAACATGCAAATTACGTTAGAAAAAATCAAAATCTTGGAAAAACTTCGGGAAACTTAAGTCCCGTTATGGTACCATCTCGTTGGGTATTTTAACCGTTGGATCTTCTATCTTATCTAACTACACGCGGATCTAACTGTTAAAACACCTGATGAGATGGTACTGTAACGAGGCCGTAGCATTTTCCAAAACTTCTTCGTATTTTGGAACAACCTTATTCATAATATCCAAATGGCTAAAAAATATATATTTATTTTCTCTTTCAAAATAATAGTTAAAAAATGGTCAATTAACTCATAAAATATGCAAGAGATAATTTTGTAATAGTTAGATATATAAAGATGGCTTAAAAATATTTTTGGTTCTTTAAAAATAATAGTTAAAAGAAGTAATGACAATCTACATTAACAATATGGTCTATTTTGGGGCCTAAATTTATAAGGACATAAAATATTAATTGATCAGTTTTAGAATATTTAATGCTAGTCAAATTAATCAACTAATAAAGTACCTAATTAATCTTTTCCACTCTCTTTTTGTTATTATCATTTTACTACAATATTATGTTTTGTTTCCTATAATAAGAAGGCTAAAAGTTGGAAAAAATGGTTGAAAAAAAATGATTATTTTGTTAAAAAAATAAAATAAAATCATGTGCCTAAATTGAATCAATGATACTTACTAATTAAAAAGTATGATGTAATTGAAAATGAAAAATTGAAAATAAACCTTTATAATACATTATCAAATGGGCTACATTTTTTATTTATCTAATGAAGGCCCAATCAACATTATGTTTTTTTCTTGGCCCACACTTGTGATACCCAAGCAACTCATGTGAGAGGGCACAAAAGAAAAAAAAACAAATATTTCACTGGAACCCCAATAGAATATACATATAGTGTAAGGGCCAATAATAAATTATCTACTTTTACAAGTTGATAAATCTCCATTTTATCTTCCCAAAGGATCCAAACGAGCTAGCCGAGGAAGAAACGACCACACACAGCAATGGCCGCGTCGACGTTGAGTCTGTCCTCTCTTCGGGCCGCCCTGCCTTCCATTACCGGGTCTTCTTCGAGCCCGTCTGTGCATTTTCCGAATGTCAAGCGCCCTTCCGGGCTTAGACTGTCCAAACCCAAATCCGGCCCGAGACCTCTCAATGCAGTTGCTGGTCTCGCTCCTTTGGATCTACTTTGTTCACCCTTTATAGGTCAAGGTACGATATTCAGTTTTCCCCCTTTTATTGTTTTGATTTGGTGTTATGTATGAAAATCTTGGTTTGGTAAGTGTTCGAGGTAATGTCTCAACGAAAATCGAAATTGTGTTGCTTTGTGAGGATATGAGTGGCTATAGGATATGGGTTTTTCGGTGTAACTTTGTTGGTTTGTCTGCTTAGTTTAGTTGTAGTGTTCCGAAAAAATGGGGCTACTTTTTGTTGATAAGGTAGTAATGAAATCTTTCCCATTGCAGTGAATATTTGTTGATTTTGGGTCAAATGACAAAATGTAATTGGGCATATGGCTGGATTTGGCTATTCAAGTTGAGAATAGCTCAAGTTACTTGCATAAACCCCTTGAAGCTTGTATGTGAAATAAGATGAATTGATGGGTTTTATATGCATGTAATTGTCATATTGCATAGATTGTGTTCATTCAATCAATGTTCGAATGGACTTAAAATGTCACTGTAAGAGTTTGTTATGCAGGCTTCTCCTACCATCCGAGTGAAAGCTGTAAAAGAGATCTATATGCTTGTATATTGTATGTTTGTTTGTTCGTTGTTGTGGGAATATGAAATGTTAACAAGAATTAGGCCTTACATTTTTTTACTGATTATTCTGTCTGGTTTTTTGGATTGGAGACTTATAAAATCTGTAAATACAAATTAGCAATGGCTATGAGGGCAATCCCATGCTATTGCTGAACTATAAGAATCGAAGTATTTGGTTTCAAGAAATTTATTATAGGTGCATTCATGATATTGCACTATATTTCTGCAGGTTCATGTTTAAAACATTGCTCAAATTCAAATCACCTACTTTTAGTTCGCATATCGACTCAAAATTATCTTTTGATTTGAAGATAATATTTCCTTCTCTAGGAGAGTACTAAAGATGATTGATTGTGCTAACATTTGTTTCTCATTACATTTAGTCGACTGAAACATTTCAGGTCTAACCACTTACGAACACAGCTTCGCGGAACACAGCTTCCCGTTAATCGGCAATGGTGGCCGGTTTTTCAACATGAGGCATGGCAGAAAGGTGCCGAAACTCAACAGGCCCCCGGACCAGAGGCGGGCCCTCTTACGTTGCTTGACTACTCAACTTCTCAAATACGGGCGCATCAAAACTACGAGAGCCCGAGCGAGTGCCATGCGCAAATATGTCGATAAAATGATCACATTGGCCAAGGAAGGCACTCTGCACAAGAGAAGGCAAGCCCTAGGCTTTATTTATGAGAAGCAAATAGTACACGCGCTCTTTGCTGAGGTTCAAGAGAGGTATGGGGAAAGGGAGGGTGGATATACGAGGATTATCAGAACTCTGCCGAGAAGGGGTGACAATGCCCCTATGGCCTACATCGAGCTTGTCTGATTTCTTTTCTTTTACTTCTTTTTGTTCTTAATAAATATTTGATGCTCAAGTATTTTGGTAAACTTTGTAGTGGTATGAGAGATCTTGTATTCAGTTACTGTTAAGTGCAAAATTAAATTGATGTTAAGCATTATGGAAATAGTCTTTTTCGAGTAATATAATGTTGGATGATGATTCTAGCTAGCACAATATTCGAACACCAAAAGGCTCCTCTCCTCGTCATCAAGATGAACTGTCTTGCCCATTGGGAAACGAGCATGAATTAGAGCGCGAGACATCCTTGTAAGCGGCAGCTCTTGATTTGGTAAAGTATTAATTTGGAGCAAACCATGTTTTTTTGAGTTATGCACACAAACTCAATATACAGTTGTTCACCGGAAGACAGGGAGATTCGGATTGTAAAATGTGACAAAGATTGCATGCATTTTTGGTGACTGAAAAACTGATTTGAACTCGAAACATTCGACAGTATGGCCTACCAAAATGGCCAAAAAATTGTAAATATTATATGGAAGATAAATGTTTCTACATCAAGAATAAATAATAAGGCCAAAAATGTAAGGTTGCATTTTAAGTTCTGGTAAAGTATCAAACAATGGACTTATTAGAGTTATGGTTGGCAAGTTGGGATTGACAAACTCCATTTGTCATCCCACTAGAGTGATGACAAGCCTAACTGGTGGTGGGAGCCTTTTCTACCATCACAAACATCCAAGGTATGAAGAAAAATGGTGGCTGTTTTATAATTTTTTATAAGTTTGTGTATTGTGTGTGTTAAAATAGCTTCTGCATTAGTTTAAGAGGTTGGTAAATGAAAAAAAATCATGCCTTAAGACGATTGAGGTTTGTTCCATATTACTACAAAGGTACCAAAAAACTTGTATCATCCACATAATGTGAAAATGTAAAGCAAGTCGAACCAATTTAAGGATGTTTGGACAAAAAAGTGGCTAATATGTATAACCCCTGTTCGAAAGATAGTTCGATTATCGATCTTCGTGAACAAGAAGTTCACGTTGATCTAAAGCATAATGGGGAGCTAGCTTCATTAGTGTTGCTTATTGTCTGTGATGAAAGGAACTTTTGGTAATTTCTGAAGGACCTTCTCATCCAGTTGGCTGTATTGTTTCTTGAGCTGAGCTTTTGCCTTGAGAGCATAGTTATCCACTTGATCTTCATGCTTTTCGTACACCGATGGCATTGTCAGTATCATCACGAACACTATGATCGCCACAGAGAAGAAAAGAGAAGGAAATTGTTCGGTATATGTTAGTTAGTTCGAAGCATATATATATTTTTTTATGGTGTTACATTTGGTCTAATATTTGTGCAGAAGAAAAGAGAACTCACTGATATATACAATAGTCAGGAAGTCGAACCAGCTGCCGAAAATCGAGACAAACCATAGTGCAAATATTGCCTGTAATATTATCACAATTAAGTTTCCATATTTCACAAGTGCCCATTTTTTCTCAAAATAAAGAGAGTTTACAGTGAGAAACTTCTTGATATCTTTTCCAGAAGCCACTCCCCATAAGAAACCTATTGCCTTATTGCATCTTTCAATTAGTAAGAGAGCAGCATTTTTGCATATGTCCTCTGAAAGTACAATCTCTGGGAAGCTAATAGGAGACCTGTCCAAGGAGCAAATTAACCACAGTAAAAACCTGCAATTACTATAGGAAAATTTAAAGACAATTGTTCATGAAAGTAGGTAACTTCTAACTTGGGAGTAAAGCTGAGTGACTTTACTTGTTCATGAAGAAGGAGAGATTTGACCACAAAAAGAGAGAGGCTAAGGAGAATATGAGAGAGTGGCAAATGAAAGGGACGGGTCGATAACCGACCCACTCGAACAGAAGCCATATCACGGTTGAGCCCGCCAGCAATGCAGCCGAGATTTGCTTGTTTCGCCATAGGATCACATCGGCAGCTGCAAAATCAAATATAATATGAAAAAAAATAAATAAATAAGTGTTTTCATGAAACTAATATTTTTGCACTTGCAGATATTAGTGTGCATACATTTGCCGCCACCGAGGGCGGAGTGCACCGGCTTCCGGCGGCCAAAGAGATGAAACTTTTCGTCACGATCATCTTCTTCTTCTTCTTCCTTGAGCTTTTCCTCTGTTTCAGAAAACTCAGGTTCCATCTCTAATTAACTCCTCTGCATTAAAATGCAGTGTTATAAGAGTGGGTTTTCTCCAAACAGGTTGCATTAAAATCACTAGGAACAAGACACTTGAACGAAATAAAAATGAAGAGAGATAATATTATTATTAAATTACCTGTGATTTTCTCAGGTGTGGTTTTCTTGGTTTCTGGTTTTCTCCTGCAAGTAGGTATTTTCAGAGTAACTGAAATATTCAAAGGGCTTAACGTACAATAAGCAGCATGTTTTGTTATGAGATTGGGTTTAACCATATGTAGTCCTTAATAATCGGGTCCATTTCTTTTGATCTTAATATACATAATGAGAATGAGATGAGTTTCGATGAGAATGGTTGTTTGTGAAATAAATAAGAATAAATTATAGTAATCAGATCGAATAATTTAGTGGAAAAAAAAAAAGAAGGTTTTACATTTATTAAGGACAATATATATATTTTCCCCAACCACCCATTGCCCGTGGGCCCCACCCCACAAAAACACTCCTCTTCCATATCTTCTTTCTCACCTCGCCGACAAGACCCACAACCACCCACCCCACCCGCCCCTACTTTCTCTCTCTCTCCAGTCGCACCCACCAGGCCACGGTCTACTTCACTGTCTGGTCAAGCCGTGTCGCCGCCGTCCTGTGCCATCGACTTCGTCAGGCACCTGCTCTCCCGAAGGCCCGAGCTCGTCGGCGAAGAATCTAAGTCCAGCAAAAGAGCAAAACAAAAATGTAAGAAAAAGTTAAATTTGGTGGCTAGCCACCATCATCGAAAACAGAAAAGGAAGCGGCAATTATTTGTTGAAATGGAGTGTAATTCACATTGCACTCCCCCCTATAAATAGAGGGCATTCCGCTTAGTAGACACACCAAAGAGAGAAGTAAAAAATAGCAAAACAACATTCAGTTTCTGAAGTGTTAGATTTTTCAGTGAGAGAAAAATAGAGTGTTTGAGTAAATCCCGTGAGTGTAGGAAAAATACCCCGGGTTGGTTATCATCTCTATTACTCTTTGTTTCTAATATTTGAATAGGAGTGGGTCTCACTGGGTCACTAAATTTTTACATTTCTAGTGTAGGAGAGTGTGGAAAGATATTGTAATTATTTTAAAAATATAGTTAAATTGTTCGGAGGTTGTCCCGTGGTTTTTTCCTCTACATTGGAGATTTTTCCATGTAAAATTTTGGTATCTTTTTTTTGCATATTTATTTATTTGGGAATTTTTAATATGTTTTGTGGTCGCAGTTTAATCTGATCTTTCACATCAGAAAAAAATTATTCTTGTTTTATTGCAAGAGATTTATTTTGTCATTCTTGAGTCAGCTAAGATTGAGACTATAGTTCACCATTTTACCTTGGTGTTTTAATTTACACCTCTGCAATTGCGCATCTGAGCCCAACAAGTGGTATCAGGCACAAGTTGGACTCTGTATCAACCAGTGTAAATTAAATGGAAGAGAACGTGTGTACCGTTGTGAAGCTGACAGCAACACATTACTCTATTTGAAAGTAAAGAATGAATGACATACTTTTCTACAAAGATCTAAATGATCCTCTAGAAAAAGTGAGACAACAAGTCAGATGACGTGAATGATGATGATTGGAAAAAAATAAATAGAAAAACTATCGGTTTAATTAGACAATGAGTGGATATCAGCATATTCCACCATGTTGTCACATCTTCGAAAATCTATACTCTATGGAATAAAATTGAACAAAGGTATTAGAGGGACGGCACTGAATAAAACTTTCATCCAGAAAGCTTGAAATATATCAGAGGACTGCATATGCCCTTTACTAGTTTGAAATTATACAATTAAATTGAAACGATGAGAAAAATACTATATTAGAAAAATAGTAAAATACTCATAAACTTTTTGATTTTAATTTTATAGTCCGTTAAAAATTATCTAGAGACTAGTAGTTGACCAATTTTGCATTCATATTTTGACTATGGCGAAAGGGTGCGAGTGATAAGCTCCGGCGATGGAGGCGGTGGCGGAAGGGCTGTGGGCGCTGGCGGAGCACCACGAGCAGAGGCGAGAGATTGGGAAGGCGATAAAATGTCTGGAAGCTATCTGCCAGAGCTCAGTCTCTTTTCTCCCCATTGTTGAAATCAAAACCCGACTTCGAGTCGCTGCTCTTTTGCTCAAGCACACGCACAACGTCAACCACGCCAAGGCACACCTTGAGCGTTCCGTGCGTATCTATCTTCTCTTTCATTTAACCTTTTTTTCTGCTTTTCCCCCACTTAATTATCTTCCAATTTGCTCTGCTAGTGGATTGCGTACGGCAAATTTTGTAGTGGAAACTAAATGCCTCATTTCCTTTTTTTTTTTATTGTGAGCTGAACTGGATTTTGTATCTTTTGTATTCGGTAAAATAATGTCCGATGATGATGTTTTAGTTTTCATCTTCTATAGTTGTAGCCTGAATTGCTGAAAAGGAAAGTTATAATGCAAAATCGAAGATTTCTATATCTTGTCTGTGATGGTGGACTTACAGTGATATACTTAAGGGCCTTTTCTTGCTACAGCCATCTTATGCCTATCTGAGCCATCTTATTTGCATTCGGTGGAAATTTCTGGTGGAATGGGTGCACCGATATCTATGTGTGTTTGAGGAATTGAGCTAGTGATTCATGAGCCCATTGAAACTAGGAAATTCTTGTGGTTCCTAACTAATTAATTCTCTGGAGTATTGATAGATTTACACGTGACTAAGTTGAGACTCTACCTTGGTCAGTTTGTTCTTTGCACAAGCTGATGATTATTCCTCATAAGTTACCAATTTTACCTTAGCTGAGGAAATTGTAGCTCATTTCTGATGGGTCCGTTTTGTTGCAGCAACTTCTCTTGAAGTCTATTCCTTCTTCCTTTGAACTGAAGTGCAGAGCTTATAGCCTGTTGAGCCAGTGCTACCATCTCGTGGGAGCAATTCCTTCACAAAAACAAATATTAAATAAGGGTTTAGAGCTTTCTGCAATATCTGGAGACGGGTATGTAGCTCTTTCTGTTTTAGTTTTCTGGATGATGTTGTCGAATAACTCTGTCAAATAAAATAAAAAATGTTTCGTATTTTGAATTAACATTGGAAAAAATGATTACCAAGGGGGGCAACCACCCCTTTTTCTCCGAAAGTTTCTTCCAACGGGATATTTATGGTATGTTACGAGAGATTCCTATTCATCCTCTGAAATCTCACTGTCTCTCTGTCTTCATACCCTCCACCACTATATTAGGTTTTAGTATATCTTATGATTTTGGTGAAGAACAACATTTTATTATAATGTAATCATTTAGTAATAGATTGATTGAAACTAAAGCCCTTCTATTCTACTTTTTAGACAATCCCCTATAAGTTTCGAGAAATGCTATAGTTACATAATATTGTACATAGGGGTGTACATAACACTGACATTGAGTGGGACCGACCAAAAATAAAAAATCAAGTGGCCACACTCCACATGAGTGTTATGTACACCTCTATATACATTTATTATGTACTTGTAGCATTTTTCATGAGTTTCTGCTATCTTCAATAAGGTCCCAATTATGTTTCTGCATAAACCATTTTATTTCCAAGTGTGCATGCATAACTTGCGATTATATTTTTGAAGGTTTGGGGGGAAATTATGGTCTTGCAACTTCAATTCTCAGCTTGCGAATGCCCTGATAATTGAGGGTGACTACAATGGGTCAATTTTGGCTTTGGAACAAGGACTCAACTGTGCAATGGAGATGTATTTTCCAGAATTGCAGGTTTGTCTTTATTTATGTGGAGACATTTAACTTTCAGATCTTATACTGGGCCCATAGTAGAAATACTATCTGGAAGTATGGTGTTTTTTTGTGACGAATTTTTTGTTAATGCCTAGGGGCACCTTGTATTATTGGAATTAACTCTTTGTATTAGGTTAACTTCTATCAACAGGCATGACATTCTTTTACTTTCTTCCTGATAACACTCAGTGTCAAAATTGTTCAGATACTTACTTTATGTGCTAAAGGTATAGATTTCATGTTTATTAGTTGTCCAAGGCTCAAGCAGTACTACGTTATTTTCTTCTAATTCTGTTTCCTTTCTTTGAAATCAGATGTTTTTTGCTACTTCGATACTGCATGTGCGAGTGATGGAGTGGGAGAGTACGAATCTGGTAGAGGAATCTGTCAATAGATGCAACATGATATGGGAAGCTATAGAACCTGATAAAGTAAGCCCTTTATTAGTACTTATGTTTTTTCTTTTATCTCTGTTTACAATGAGCCTTGTAGTTTGAGTAGTATATCCCATTTCCACCTCTGTAAGGGTGTTGATTGGGAATTCTAGGGTCCGAGCTTGGATCTCCTTATTTTCTTATTCCACTATTTATACATTCCCTCAAGCCGTGGAGCCTTGTGATTTTTATATTGCTGATCATTTCTGATTCAAACCACTTCATTGCTACTTAAGGAGCATTTGAAGATTGTTTTCTAATATAAAAGAGCTTGCAAGTTGAGTTTTTCATGAAAAGCTTCTTTTCTTTGTGTCTGGCTAAATTGGAGATGCTTTGATATCCGAATGTGTATGCATATAATTATAGATGTTTATGGTTGCTGCAGGCCTGCAGCTAAGTGTATTAAAGATTTGTAACTATCGAGTATGTATGCCTTTGTTTTCTGTGAGTCTTACCTGTTATTCCAACTGAAACACGTTTTTTCTTTTCTCTTCTTTTGTGTTCTCCTTGTATTCCAAAGAGACAACAGTGCATCGGTTTACTGTTTTATCATGGGCTTCTGCAAGTATTCTATCTACTCCGTATCTGTGACTACAAGGCTGCTGGCCAACATATTGAGAAATTGGACGCTGTTATGAAGAGTGACCTGCAGAAGATGCAAAATATTAAGGACCTCACTAATGAACTCGATGCCCTGAATCAGAATCTGTCACGTCCTGGCTTGAGCTACAAAGACAGATCTGCTCTTTCAGAAAAACAAAATAAGATTGAGGAACAACTTAACAAGTTTACAGGGATGAACTCAACTGGAAAAGCAGCCCTGGAGCCTGCATATTTTGGAAATCTCAAGCGAGCATTGGCAGATAAACTTGAGTTGGCTCCACCACCGATTGATGGGGAGTGGCTGCCAAAAAGTGCAGTGTACGCATTGGTAGATCTCATGGTGGTAGTTTTTAGCCGGCCCAAGGGGCTCTTTAAGGATTGTCAAAAGCGGATTCAGTCTGGGTTACAAATTATTCAAGGTTTGTTGGAAATTGCTTTGATATTTTATTTCTCTTCTTTGATAAGCCTTATGTTGTCCTGCGTTTTGATCCACTCTAAAGCATGTCCGTAATGACTTGTAAATGATTTTCATGAGATTCTAATTGTCTGTGTCAAATTGTATTCTACCGTCTGGTAGTCGAAGAGGCTTAGAAACTTATCCTGTGCTTGTTCTGCCTCATACCACCAATTGTTGCCTATAGCGCCTAGAATTTAGATGTTATTGAAGGTTGAAGTATGATGAAAGAAAACACCAGAATGCGAGGTTTGAGTTATTCATATGTTTGATGGGTAAATGAAGCGGTATCTGTATCTTGTTTCCTAAGCTGGATCCGTCACATGGAAAATCTCATTTTATGGATTGGTAAGTTATGAACATATCTTTCTCTAATTGTAATGTACATCACAATGGAGCTCACATATTGCTTTGGATAGGTCATTGCAGCAAGGATTTCCAAAAAATATAAAAATAAAAATAAAATTGGTTAAAGTAAGAGTTGGGTTACTCATCTGAACGATAAATTGCTATTTTTATGCAGAGGAGTTGGTGCAGTTGGGGATCAATGATGGTGTTAATGGTGAGATTTCATCTTTTATTTTTAATTTTCTATGTTATATGTCTGAAGTGTATGTGTATGCCAATGATGTTTCCTCCATGTAAATGATCCATATAAAAGGTTTTCTCTGTGTATGTGTGTGTGGTATAAGATTAAGAGTCATTAACATTTGTTTCTGTAATGTACTGAACCAGAGGTGGAATTGCAACATTCTGCAATTTGGATGGCTGGAGTGTATTTAATGCTTCTAATGCAGTTCCTTGAAAACAAAGTAGCAATTGATCTTACGCGAACTGAGTTTAAGGAAGCACAAGAGGTTGGTTTATCACCTCTATTAGTGCCATTTTTTATTTATTTTAATGTTCTCGTTGTCATAATACGTTTTAGTATGGATGATTCTGTTGATTGTAATTCTTTGCTGCTTAGGATGTAGATTATCACTCCTAGAGTGAATTAACTACTGGTATATTGCTGGAATTTCATTTTATGATTCGGATTTTGTTCTCTTTTCATGTTGCTGGCTTACTGTTTGCTGAAATATATCTCCCTCAATGTCAAATGTGTGCTTCTATGTGAATATCAAAAGGATAAGTTTTTTGTCCAGAATAGATTCATACTGAAGTTTAAATTATATTTGAATGGCTGTATAATCTTATAAACTTATTTCGAAATTTCCAAATCTGTCGTTATAGTTAGGAGCAGAATTTTGTGAATGTTTTTATTTATTTATTTATTTTTGTCTATTTTCACTTCTATATATGTAATATCTTAAAAGAGGTTAACATGATTAGTTTCTCCCCAGGCATTGGTGCAGATGAGAAACTGGTTCGTACGCTTTCCAACCATCCTACAGGCTTGTGAGAGCATGATTGAGATGTTAAGGGGCCAATATGCACACTCTGTTGGCTGCTATGATGAAGCTTCTTTTCATTTCCTTGAAGCATCAAAGGTAAAATTGTTACGCTGTACTTCTCGTTGCTTACACCTGGAGGCAGGAGCTAAATAATTGAATGGTTGTTTCAAGTAATCTTTTTCATATTATTTTGTCATCAGTATTTTTATTCATGCCATCTGCTATCTCAATATATTTTTCAATCTGCAACTTAAGTCTCCCTTGATCCTGGAATTCATTTTTTGTGTTGTCATGAATTTTTACTTCGCTAACCATTGTTTTATACGCAGTTGACTCAGAGCAAGTCAATGCAAGCCATGAGCCACATTTATGCAGCTGTCTCTTTTCTCTGCATAGGTGATGCAGAATCTTCGTCCAAGGTCATACCTTGTTCTTGAATCTTAATTTTGTTAGTTTGTCGTTGTTAACTTGTACTTACAAGGCCTCGCCATACGCAGGCTCTTGATTTGATTGGACCTGTTTTAGGAGTGATAGATTCTTTTGTTGGGGTGCGGGAAAAGACCTGTGCCCTGTATACTTATGGCTTTCTACTCATGAAGCAACAAAATTTGCAAGAAGCCAGGTAAAAACTGGAAATAGCTCGCTTATTTGTATGTTATAATAATTTTACATGTCTGCAAATCTTTGTTTTGATCAGATACAAGTCCTGCAAATCATGAAATAAAAAATCCTAATTTTTACACCTCTACCTCATGTTCCACCGAGGAAGATTGCCCTCTTTTAGATCACACTTGATTTATTTTTCTTCCTGCAATCTGTAAATCCTTTTCTTAAATGTCCCGTATCTTTTATGCAGAATGCGACTTGCCTCCGGCTTGCAGAGCACACACACTTATCTGGGGAATCTTCAACTCGTTTCGCAGTTTCTGACCGTGCTGGGAAGTTTGGCACTTTCCCTACATGATACTGGACAAGCTCGAGAGATTTTGAGATCTGCTCTCACACTGGCAAAGAAGCTTTACGATATTCCAACACAGACATGGGTTCTGTCAAATATGACAGGTACATGTGTTCTAAAAAAAGAACCTTAAAGAAACCCTAAAATTTGAAAACCTCTAGAATAAATTAGGTAATGTATAAATATGAAATAGAAATAGAACCCTAGAAATAAATAATAGAACTAAAAGATTACAATTTTTTGCTCGACAGAAAACTTCCTGTTGGGCTGTTCAACACTTACTTTTGTATGATGACATAAGTTCTTTTACCTTGTTATTCTTTGTGCTGCCTTCACCAGATATGTCTTTACTCGCGATCAATCTATATTGAGAAAGTAATACCATCTTTGCTTTGAGAAGTAAAATAGACTTTGGTCTTGTAGTTTATCGAGGATGAACTTGGTTTGGGTTCTTTTGAAAGCAATCACCCACAGGCCACATATAGTAATCTATCTTTGGTGGCTGCAGCTTTGTACCAGCAATCAGGGGAGAGAGGTAGTGAAATAGAGAATACCGAGTATCAAAAGAGGAAAGTAGAGGATTTGCAGCAAAGACTCGCCCTTGCACGTTCGTCCTTTCATCACAATGCACTCGTAAGTTCACCTATCCTGCCCTTCTCTCTCTCTCTCTAAATAACAGAAGTTACCCCTGAGGTTTTAGCTAATTACACCCAAAAAAAAGTACATTTTGTTATTTTTTGTTGTTGAAATTCATAAGCATGGCTCTTACCAACACTGCATGCATGAGCAGATTGACAAAGTTAAAGTCCCGGTTGATCAAGTGAACGAGCCTGACATGAAACGAGCAATAGCCGGGCCTTCCAAATCTGTCGATCTCGACATCCCTGAATCCATTGGGCTTTCTACTCCACAGCCCATGTCATCTTCAGTGAGGCTCATGGATTCGGACATTGGGAGACTTCGCAGGAGAAAGTTTTAGTGTAATAGCATCATGTTTCCCTTTACTAAGTGTGTACATACAAAATGTAAGCCGTTTTAGAAATTCACATTCTCAGTGTAATTTATGGTTTGTCAAAGTCGCACAATTTGAGCTTAAGTGTGCCTACTAAAAAGTCAAAAGGATTCATGGTTCTTTTATTGTTGGTATTATTTGATAAAATTAAAAATAACAAAATGAAAATTAAAACGCGTTCTTTTAATTAAATTAAAGTGAAAAAAAAAAGGGGGAATGATCCACCTGTGATATAAAAATTTAAATTGAAAATCCAATTTAAAAATTGAAATTTATCTAGGGGTTTTGTAGAAGTTGTGGATAAGAGGGTTGGAGTCACTTTAGAATAAATAAATCTTATTCAATAAGATTCACTCCAAGAAAGTGTGTCATTATAACCTTATTGTTGGAGGATGAAAAGCCACACTAATGAATAAGATAAAATATGCAGTTTTCAAAATAAGAATTGAATTTGCAATATCTATAAGTTTATAAATAAAACTATTTTGATATTTTAAGAATTAATGTTTTATGAGATGTGAAAAAAAAAAAGTAAGTTTATTTTTTTATTAAAAAAATAACGCTTATAATATATATACACTTTCAAATCAAAATGTTATATTATGATAAAAAAAGCTAGATAATTTTTATTGTATAAGTATGCATTTTTATTAAAAAACTGACTGATAAATCTGCTTACCGTTTGGTTGACTCATATAATTTTTTTTTTTTTTTATTTAACCCAATTAAATGCTTCAACTTGTATTAAAGTAATATATAATCATAAATATAACTCATATTATGAGATATACAAATTACAATAATTTTTTATTTGTACTCCCTCCTATTTATTTTAAATGTCATTTTAGCTTTATCAACATTAACCAAATAAATGTTGTTTTGGATTTTTTGTACATATTTTTCCGTTATTACCTTCATTTAGCTAATAAATGCATTACGTCTTTTCATATTCACTTTTCACCTTTTCTCAAAACATTCATCTCTATCTTCATTAAATAAGGTTATTATTGACAACAAAAATATTTTTAATTAAATGTGCAACTTCTCAAAACGGCATATATTAAAAATAGGAGGTAGTACTCCCTCTTATTCATAATAAATGTCGTTTTGAGAAGTTGCACACTTATTAAGAATATTTTTTTTACCAATAATAACCTTCATCAATGAGGATAGAGATGAATGTTTTGAGAAAAGATGAAAAGTGAATATGAAAAGACGTAGTGTATTTATTAGCTAGATGAGGGTAATAATGGAAAAATATGTACAAAATATCCAAAATGACATTTATTTTGCTAATAGTTGATAATGCTAAAATCACATTTAAAAAGAATAGGAGGTAGTAGTATATATTTTCGTAATTTGTAGCAAAATGAGAAATGACTGAAATAAATGAATCAAAGTCCAATTATTATCAACTTTGTAAAATTGCCATTACAACTCTTGGCCCTTTCCCTTGGGTGGTGACCGGTGCCAGCAAGAAAAAAGGGGGAAAACGGAAAACCGATTTTCCTCGCGTTGACAACTCATTTTCCGATCACCGGCGATCAGCGATGGCTTACCGGAGGCGGCAGCAAGTCGGCCGTACTGACAGTTCCTACTCCAACAATTACGACTTTGCCCCTCCGCGTGATGGCAATGCATCGGCGTCCCCCGCATCCTCGCTCGCCGCCAGAGCCGTCGGAGCTTCAGCTGCGTACAGGGATTCGTCGCTGTCCTCCGCCTACGAACACTCCACCGTCTCATCTCCGCGAGATTCTTCGCATTCCTCTGCCAAGGTACAATTTTTTGCTGTGCTATGTGGCTTGATTGGTTTTTAATTCAACTGAATTGCGTGTTTGTGGAGTGATTTCTTTTGGGTTTCGGCGATTTTTGCTTTGATCCTTTTATTGGCCTGTGCCACCCGCTGACATCCGAGGTAATTGGATTACAAGTACTGCGTGCGATCTAAGTGATTTTCGGATAGGAAAAGGTAATCAATGCATAATATGTATATATGTATTTATTTATTTATTATTATTATTATTTTTGCTTTGTTGCTACTATTTGTGATGGTTTATTATGTGAGAAATGTTTTTTTTTTTTTATTTTAATTGGCTACTTAATGTGGATCTCGGCTCCTGTATTGGCTTGACATTGATACAAGAGAGTATTTTTGGTGAAATGTGATATATTCTTCATGGAGTGTATGTCGGGATTGAGTTTGTGTGGTTAATGCTTTTAAGACAATTTGTGTATAGTCATATGGATTGTTGATTGAGTGTTGTGTTGGTGGATGATCTCAAGGTAAGAGTTACAAGTTGGGATGTTTGTTTATACAGGCTATATGACACTCTGTATCTTTGTGTGGAATCGAAATTTTGTAAATGATTCATCTGTTTATGTAAATAATAGAGATAGCCGTACATTTTACTATGTACCTGTGCATTACTCTGACTTAAGAACTAGAGAAGAACTGGTATTGGGTGGTCTGTATGTTAGACCTGTGTATGATTAAATCTATCTTTTGTTACACTATTTCTTATTAATTTGGGGGGAAAAGTGGACTTTGTAACTTGGTGTTGTGAAATGCATGTCATAAGATATTAGTTGGTTTTTGCTGAAGTATATAGGTGTTTCCAAGGTCATCGTGCTTGTGATTTACCGAAAGTTATCATTTTCAATATAGGATCAGCCCATCTATGAATCCCCAAATAAGAAGAACATGAATGAATCTAGGCAAGGGTTCTGGAGGGATCTTGCTCAGAAAGCTAAAGCGATTCTTGATGATGATAATGTGTCTGGGAGCATTAAAAAGGATCAGGTAGCAATATGAAATGCTTGCAGCAGTTTGAACAGGCCGAAAATCAACTGCATTGTATTTTGTGGGTTTTTTAAACTATTTTGTGTTCTATTACCTCATATATATCAAAATTATGGAGTTTAAATGTTGAATAACAACCATGCCTCCTCTTTTTAATAGAAAGTCTGATCAGATTCTTCCTTGATAATATCCTTGTAAATAGTTATATTCCAATTTGGCTTCGTTATTTATACCTCGATGCTATAAATTCCGTAGGTTACTATATTTTTGTTCTCTGGTACTGACTTGTGGTAAGCATACACATTTTCCCTCAAATATATTAGACTCTGATTATTAACTTAATGCTGTTTTCTTCTTTCATTGTAACATCAATTTAGTAACTTAATACTGTTTTCTTCTTTCATTGTAGCATTATGACACGTACAATTCTTCAGAAAGCCATCAAAAGACTGACAGCCCTTCAATAAAGAAGAAGCTTGGTGCAATCAAATCATCCCTTAATCACATTGGTGGCACCATTGGTAATGCTCTTGAGGTAGGTTTCTTTGTAGTTTCAAAGTAAAGTCATAATATATTGTGCATGGCTTCATCATTTTCTGAACTTCTCCAGTGTAGTTACATTTCTTAATGGAGATATCTATGCTAGCTGATCATAACAGCTTATAATTACTAGGTAAAATTGCAAAATTAGTCTAAAGCAATTTTAGCCACCCTCTGAGTTTGTTGAACCTGAACTCTAGTACCACGAACCGTTGTGTTGTTTATAGAACACTTAAAGATCTTCTGAACTGTTTTAACATATTCGAAGGTTGTGCTGGCTTTTTATTTATTCTTTTTATATTTTCGTCTTTTATGCCTTTCATTTTATTCATCTAAAGATTTGCTTCTTGTGGCACTCATTTGCAGGAGGGTATCACAGCAGTGGAGAACCGTACTGCTGACATCATTCAAGAAACTCGTAATATTCGCTTGACGAAAAAGGGTGGTAGCTCGATAGCCCAGAATCAGGATTCAGAGCATAGTAGCTTGCGGCAAACTCGTAGGCAGCCTCAGTTTCAGACCCACACTGATCTGGAAACGCAACTGAAGGCATCTCGTGATGTAAGATTATTTTCCAATTGTTGATTGCCTAATAAAATATCGGTTCCTTTATTACAAATTAATTTTGGCTCTTCTATATAGATTAGTATGTATGGTATTGCTTATCCATTTTTGTCATGCAAGTAATGCTAATATCAAATGTTAAGTGTCTGATTATAGAGAAAAACTTCTTATTGGTGTTGAATATTTCCTGATAATATATAGAGATTCAAAACGAGTCTACTGCTGAAGGAGTGCCCCTAGGGAAGGAAACTTTTAGCCAACACAGTTTGTGGCTTAATGCCATTAGAACCCAAAGTTTAATGAGCCATGTTCATAAGCTCCTCTTTCAACCTTCTCATAATCTTGATTAAGAAATTTTGAGTTTGCTATGCATCTATTATATTGTAGATAAGTGTGTACTGTATAGTGATATTTACACATTGTAGTCTCTTTCCATCTTTCAAGGTGCTTTTCACAACTTGAAATCCATATGCTACAGTGAGAAGCCGGTGTCATTGCTATACATAGTTAAATTTTATTTTATGTCACCAAAGCCTCGTCCAAAAAAAAAAAAAATGAAAAAAGAAACAAGAAAAAAACAGCTGAGGAGATGCTGTGGTAGGGAACACATTATCAATTTAATAGAATATGTTCTAGATAGAGGTCCATTTTTCCATCTCTTTGCCACCTTAGTGACTATTTTCGTTAGTTGTGTCATAATCTGTTTGCTCTGAATAACAGGTTTCAATGGCAATGGCTGCAAAAGTAAAACTTCTCCTGAGGGAGCTGAAGACTGTCAAGGCTGACCTGGCTTTTGCAAAGGAGCGGTGTGGTCAGCTGGAAGAGGAAAACAGGATGCTTAGGGAAAGCCGTGAAGAAGGACAAAGCTTAGAAGATGATGATTTGGTAACCCCTCTCTCTCTCTCTCTCTCTCTCTCTCTCTCTCTGAGACACACACACACACTACATTTTGCTCTGTCTCATCTGTAAATCTGAGAATCAAATTCATCTGAAATCTGCTTTCCGAAGCAGCCTATGCTTGTACAAGTTGTACCTTCTAAGATTCGTATACACTGCCATTGTTTCCACCCTCTTTTTTCTTTTGGAAAAGTAGATTTGTTTTTGTAATATCAGGAAATGCAAATTGTTAATATAGCAGTAAAGAAGACAACCAGGATCCAAAGTACAAATTTGGACATTATATGCTAAAACAAATAGTGATATGACATGAACATAAAAATTTAAGAAAATAGAATTACTATAAGACTTTATGTCAAATGTTATGGACTTCGATCGGATTCACCTAACAAAGGCTTTTTCCCCTTCTTCTTTTTTGGCATGTTCTAAAACTGTTCTTCTACTTACACGAATGGGTCAGATTGAAACAGTTCAGAAGCATAAAACATTTCTCATAACCTCATCACATTTGTTGAATTCTAGCATAAAACAATTCAGAAAGCTAAAATATTTTGGAGTGGAAAGAGTTCGACTATAGATTGAATCTGAAATTTATTCACTTCTCCGCAATTGCGTATTTTTCAAAAGCGTCTGTCTGGGCACAATTCTTTATCTACATTTTACATTCGAATAACCATGTGTAAGCTTTTTCTTTTCAATCTGGCACTATAATCAAGTATTGACAAAATCCAATGGTACATGAATATTTTTCTTTACCAGGTAAGGCTTCAGCTCGAGACCCTTCTAACTGAGAAATCAAGGCTCGCACATGAGAATTCAGTCTATGCACGAGAAAACCGTTTCCTTCGGGAAATTGTCGAGTATCATCAGCTGACCATGCAGGACCTGGTATATTTTGACGAAGGCAATGAAGAGGTTACTGAAGTGTATCCAATCAAAATCGATACACAATCTGTTGGCACATTGACTTCACCTACTCCAATCCCGACAATTCCTGAAGGTGCAATTTCTTGAGTTGCAAAGAATGTGCCTTAATGTCTAGAAACCGAATGAAGATTTGAGAAGTTGCTGAAAGTGAACCTTTCACTTTCAGCATAAACGTGTTTCTTGTTTATAAGCCGGCTTGTGTCGGGTATTTTCATCCTTGTTTGTTGCTGCATACTGTTACATATTGATGATGCTTTCATCAAAACTCTAAATGTTGTTTGTTATAGAGTACAGAGCGCTGAAACAATTCTTTGGTGTCATTATAGGATCAAGGGGTTTCGAGGGGGGGTTTGCTATGTATTGTATTTTTATTTATTTTTTGTCTTTTTCCCTTTTATCGTTTTTTGGTATTTTCTCCATTTTACCCTTTGGTGTCTCTTTGGATGCTGATATTTTGATTGCTTATGAAATGAAATGTAATCTTGATGGTCGATGTGATTAGTTTCTTAAAATGTGATTTAATATTTTTGTTGGTGATTAGATTTTAAGAGTGGAATAGTTGTAAAACTTGTTTAATACAAAATTCACACAAATTCTTAGGTGAGACAGTCTAATTATTAGATGGGTCAACTCGTCATATTCTAAATAAAAATATATATTTATGCTACCAAATGTCATTTGTTGTTATTTTATTTTTTAAAATACGATATTTTTTATTATTGTAAAACATGTATACGATAATAGGAAGGTTGATTATTTACTTGAAAATTTGATACATCATTTCATTAAAAAAAAAA